ACAGAGCGAAAAGAGTCCAATGGAGTTTGCTGAGGAGTTGGTTAAAGCTGCACATCTGTATAATGGATTTAATCTGATAGTGGCTGATCTTCCATCAAAATCCATGGTTTATATATCCAACAGACCTAATGGGGAATCTATTTCAGTTCAGGAAGTCCATCCAGGGATTCATGTGCTCTCAAATGCAAAGTTGAACTCTCCTTGGCCAAAGGTTAGAATTTTGAAGCCTAATGTTAAAAACCAAACTAGACTTGAGAATTTTTTCTTGCATAATCTACATGCTAAGCCAAACTAGACTTGAGAATTTTTTCTTGCATCTCCTGCAGAATAATTGTTAAAAGCTAAAATCTTATTCATTGTACCGTCAAGGTATTAGTACTGCATTCCAAATAGACCCTACTGGTTAAATCAAAAGTGATTTTTCTGTTCACACATGCCTTGAGCAATAGCTACATTTTCATCTCATCCCTTTCTATTTTGTTCCTACTGTTTCTCCAGGCTTTGCGCTTGGAACGGAAATTCAAAATGCAGCTTGATCGATATGGTGAAGGGGAAATATATGTTAAGGAGATGGTCGAAAGACTCATGAAGGACACTGTAAAAGCCGACAAAGGCAAATTGCCTAATATTTGTTCACTTGACTGGGAATTCAATTTAAGCTCCATATTTGTTCAAGTAGATACCCCACTGGTAAGTTGCAGTTCTTATGCAATAAGCAAATTTGAAATGTTAAGGAAATTCATATGATTTTCTTTTTCTAATGGACAGGGAAGGTATGGCACTAGAAGCACTGCTGCATTGACTGTAAATGCAAATGGGGAAGTCAGTTTTTATGAGATTTATCTAGAGAGGAACATTTGGAAAGAGAAAACCCTGAATTTCTACATCGAGAAGTCCTAGTTCTAAGGGTTTCATCATATCAATAAGCTACCATTAAACCCAAAACATTCCCATAAATCTTTTGTTAAGGTGTGCAAATCATATAGAATTATTCGGTAAAAAAGGCAAAGGTGCAACATTGTACTGCAATTCTATTTTGAAATATATAAATAATAAGTCCAGCTTGATTATTCACTCTCCATGAACTCGATAAACTTCGCTTGCTAAACAGAACATCGGGATCTGGCTCACAGTTTGTCGAGGCTGGTGGCAAAAAAAGGGGGATCAATAGGGCTACCCTAGTAAACTGAAACTGATAAAACGGTAACAATTTTGCTGCATGCACATTGATTTAGACAGACACAACCTAGTTGCACATAATCAATGTACAAGTAGGTTATTTCAAATGATAAACGAAAAGGGCGACCTTTGAGATAATAGATATGAGTGGCCTCCTTTCAATACCGAGCAATAATATCCCATCTTGGGGCTTATTTTGGTAGTAGTTCCATACCAAAATAATCCCCCTATAGGAAAAAAGCTGGCTTCTTTCTCAAGAAGAAGCCAAGCCAAACATACTGAATGTTTATCTTTACCAGAAAGAATACGTTTATGATACAAATAGTGAAGAAATAAACCTTAGCTTCATTAGTGTCATCGATCTTACAGTGAAGAAATAGACCTCTGCTTCATTTGTGTCGTCAAGCTTGTGACCTTAGGGAAGTTCAGCTTATAACAGAAGACGGTTTTCCTCTATAAAATTTTTAACATCAGCAAACATTGTCGCCCTAGCAGACTCTCTGTCTCCATAATCAGATAATAGTTTGTGATCTCTGCATGTCATTGTACCAAATCAACATTCTAGAAAATAAATCAATGTAAAACTCCCATAAATGAAAATAATAATGACAACCATGATGCAAGGGTGGAGTCAAGAGAACAGAGTTGTGGGGGCAAAATTAAAAATTATAAGCAAATTTTTTGAAATTCTCCTGTAAAATCTTGAAAAATTTATTGCAAAATCTTGGATTTCAAAGTTAGTGTGCAGGTCTGCTCATGCCATGATGAGCAACAGTACTCTCTCACCTGATGTTATTAAGAAAGAAAAAATGTTTTAAATTTTCAAAAACGTCTTCATCAGGAACTGAAAGTATTTTAATCTCATTCACTAAAATGTCACGAGCTTTGACGGTCTCCCTCCTACAATTATACATTCAAATTCATATGAATTGATGAGAATATGAATACTGGCACAAAGCTGACAAAAATATTGAAAGATATCAAGAAACAAACTCACATGTCCAGTGCTTCTAGGCACTTCCGTCTTCTGATCTCATAGAATATTTTCGTAGAATTAGTGTTATCATTGATCCCAGTGAATGCCAATAAGTACCTTTCCACCTTGTCCCAATCCCCATTTGTTACAATGTTCTCAAAATAGCTCATATTGAAGAAGATTCCTGATTCTTCTTCCAATCTTAATTTCACAAAGAATTAAACCATTAATCAAACAATTAAATAAAAAGTCCCCAGGAGAGCCTTTGGAAAATAAACACATTAAACATTATTCAACGTGTGGATCCAAGAATTCATCTGACCTAAGGTGGATCAATCTTAGCTAGGATGGACCCTTGATGGCTGTGCGGCTACCCAATATATGGGGAATAAATTTTCGGCGGAACCAGCACCGGTGGCTGCCATAACGTGCCAAGTGCTAGCTCCGCCACTAATAAACAAATTTGGAATTTAGAACACCCAAATGAATAATCATTTCTTCTTTTTTTAGAAAAAGAAAAATCAAATAAAAATATAATAGGGAAATGGACAAAAGTTTGAGTTAGCATACAGTTTTTGTGAATCAAGTAAAATGGGGCAATGGAAATAATAGGTTGTGGACTTAATTGTCAAGAAAAATAGAATGATCACCTGTTTGCTACTAAATGGACAGTTGGGACTAACGTTGCGATTTTCCCAGTTAAATATGCTAATTAGTCAGGTGTTAAGATATGAATAAATAATGATTATACTGAAAAGTGAAATCAGAAACAAAAACAGCAAATTGAAAAAGAAATTGATTAAAATAGATTAAAAGTTAAATCCATACATGCGAGCAGTTTCTGTCAAATTGGCATCCTCCAGAAATTGAAGAACTAAAAACAAATCCTCTTTGCCGACATTGCAATAAGTTCCTCTCAAATTCTCTTGTGGAACATCTTCTTCGGTTTTCTTTTGGCACATAAACCGAACAGTGGACATGATTAACCTCATTCAATATGCCTACCTAAAACCATAAACTGCGTGAATAAATTTCGAAACTTAATAAGCCTGGAACCAGGGGCAGACCTGGAACAATATGTTCTAGGAGTTGAAAGTTGTCCAAAATTACAACGCACTCAGGTGCATGACTTTAGAAAAGTTAAAATGAGGTTTTAATACCCAAAAGCTGTTTTTTGACTCATCTGACTAATTTTATGAAAGTACTTCTTTTAGTTAAGATTCGTTTGATATGACTTTTATTTTTATTTATACATCTTATTGAAGAGCTGTTGGATAAAGTTAACCTTAATTTTTGTTGGAAAACTAATATATAAAAGAGCTTTTTATTTCGGAGGTATTATTGGAGGAAGTCACATTAAATCAACTGCCTCTAGAAGCTCTTCTAAAAGCCTGTTTGACATGATTTTTGAAAAATTAAAAGGTGCTTTTGGGTCATTTTGACTAATTTTATGAAACTGTTTCTTCTAATTAGAAGAACTTTTAGAGAAAGCTTATCCGATGTGACTTCCTCTAAAAGGATTTTCGGAATAAAAAATTCTTTTAAAAATTAGTTTTCAAACAAAATTAAGATGACATCCTTTAAAAACTCTTCTCTAAAAAGCAAAAGTAAAAATAAAAGCAAAAATCATGTCAAACTGACTCTTAAGCTATTGCGACCCTCATTACACTATGCTTCTGTCCTTGAATCAACCTTCCCAGGTATATTATTTTTATTCCATGTAAATAAAATACAGAACAACCACACCATATAAATGAGCATCAGCAGCATCTCAAATGCCAAGAAACTTGGAAAACTACTGCTAATAAGTTAATTACTCAGGAATTCACCATGAAATTGAAAGAAAAGAAGAAGAAAAATTGCAAGCTAGACAATGCATTATTAATTAAAAATTAAATTCATAAAATAAAAACTAGGTCCAAAGTCTAAAGGAAGTTCCATTTTTAATTTCCCCACTAATTTTCTCAATAACTACAGCACAAACAACAAATAGAAAATAAGTAGATAAGACTTTAAACAAACAAAAATTACTCCCGCAGCTGCTTACATGGACACCCACATCACACTTGAATAAAATTTCAGCAAAATTGTAATCTAAAATCAAATTTCAGCAAAAATAAAATACAGATTGTATTTTGTAAAGGAACTTTCAAAAATCAGCAAATGATTCCTAATAATATAAACCCAAAAATAACTAGAGAATAAAATACACATTGTAATTACTTATTGTAATTGCAGCAAAAAAATGAAATAAAATAAAATTCCAAAGACTTACCTCAGACAGTCCGCAGAAAGAAACCAGGTGTTGATTTTTTAAGTTTATTTTTTTTAATAGGCAAAGTGCAGAAATTTGGGAAAGAAAGTGGGGGAGATCAAAAGAGTAAAGCGATGGGTTTATTTGGTGTTTAGGCTAACTGCTTTTTCCTATTTTCAGGAAGCATTCTCATCCTATAAGAGTTTTTTCAAGATTTCAATTCAAAATTCCTTATAATAAATATCATGAATTTTAGATTATTCTCTTTCTATCATATCCTAATCCAATAATTTTATTTAAAAAAATAAATAAAAATTCCTCATTCTCCATCCTATCCAAATTTGCTCAAGTTCAGATGAACTTATTTCATGTTAATCAGTACATATTAGCATGGCCTTGAGATATTTGGAATTGTTCAGTGATGCCTAAATGTGCCATCAAAAGCCAAACATGAGTGAGAAACTCTTTACCCTTTCGAAGCTGGCGAGCATGGACCACGGTGATTCCCTCTACAGTGACTAGCTGCATATGCCAGCATCAAACAAAACAGATTTGCTTTTGTCTCCCTTCACTTTAGCCGGTGGCACTTCCGTGTTCACTTGAAGAAACCTTTCGCACGCTCTGACTTTGCTTCGGCTTTGGCTTTGCCAGATTTCAGATTTCTTTCTCCCAGAAACTCTTCGGCTTCAGCGCATGTATCTCGGAACCTGATCGTTCCAAACCCTATTGGCAGCATCAAAGGACATTCGACTAGAAGATACAACATATAGTCTGATATGTGCTTGCTATGATCAGATATCTGCTTTCTTTCTAAAGAAATGTTACTCAAATTATTCGGATTGTCATCCGTTCCAAATAATAGCATATATCAGTGCCGATGTGCCATGGAAGAATTCTCTGGTCAAATTCTTTCTCTTCAGTCCAACAAGTGAGCGATGGTCTTATTTTTCCGGGGATAAACTCCTTTTCGATTCCAAAAAACTGCAGGATCAGTCCCACCGGTTATTGTGTGCTTCTTCAATTCGTTGAAGATAAGGCCTTTTACTACTGAAGAGACATCAACATAAGTCTTTTGCCAGTGTTTTTGTAGGACATTATCTGAACAAGCTTCTGGATACACCCGTGTATCTTTTGTTAGACTAAATATTAGTAAATGAATATCGGATTAACAAATATGAGATGGACATATACCATATTTGCAACTAATAGTAATATCGGATGGACACGTACTAGATATACAACTTACCGGATTGATACATACTGTATATGAAACTTACTCGATTGACACATAATGTATATGCAACTTATCGGTTGAACAGCTAACTAACCGAATGTTAGCCAAAGTAATGCAGATTGAATAATTTTATTAATTACAATAAAAAGTAGGACAAGTTAATCTAAATCACAACAAAATAAGTAATAAAAATTTAAATGAAATTTGAAATCGAGACCTATGTATTCACAATTTCCTTAAAATAGATTTGCCCCCTCACGTAAGTGCTTGAGGTTTAATTTGAACGTCTATCTCCTAGCATACAATGGAGTAACAATAGAATTTGAGCAACTCAAATACTACTCGAGCGAACAGAACTTGTATCAGAATAATATTACCAAAAAAATTCGGACGGGACAAGGAATTGTATAACTATGCAGTATGCAAACACACAAAAAATAAAATAAATAATATAAAATATGCTGAAATTGTATTACTTCTTGTGTGGAATAGTAAAAAACGAGTGGCATATATAGGCTTAACCCACATGAATGCCATTAACTTGTATTACAATAATAATAAGGGGTTGTTTGAGTCACATTTTTTCAAAAAAATACATTCTTCAACAGTGATTTGATATCATCTTAATCACAAATTATTCAATAAAATAATATTACACGCAAATCCAAAACTTTTCCTTATTTCTTAACCACACATTTTCTATCAATACACTATTCAAAAATACACTTTCATTCTAAGAATGTGGCTCAAACAAGGGCTAAATATTGGAGTTTCAACAGTTTTGGAATTTAAAAGGTCAGTTGAATGGGAAAAAATTGGCAAAACGTAAGCCCTCCTAAAGGGCCAATTTTTCGAGGTCCGAAGCCTATTCCAGAGAAAAGCTACTAGTGCGAAGCAAGTGAAAGAAAAGGTTACAAGTTTTGAACGATAATGGATCCAATATTATACGCTTGTGAAGCCTTGGTGTATAGCACATCAAATGTGAATCCAAGTTCAACCTGAACCATTATCAAAAGCATTTTCAAATGTTAGTTTCTTGAAATATGACCGACCGATCTTGAAAACTTGGGATAATATCAGCGAAGAAATGCTTAAAGATCTGGAACAGATCATATGCTTCCAATATTATTTGTCTACTATTATCAGGAAAAGAATGATGAGTTGGAACTGGGATTTCTATGATCTCAGCTGCTTATACATAGAGTCCCTCAACCTGTTTCAGAGTGAACTGCTCCATAATTTAGCATAGTTTGGCCTTGGATCAGGCTCTGTGAGCGTTGAATAGTGGAAGTTCTCGTTTTTCGCTAACCTTAGTGCCAATATTCGCTCTCCATAATTACGCCAGATGTAAAAATAAGTATGCTTAAAATCAGAAGCCAAGAAGAGCCCCGTAAAGAAATAAGTAAAATGTAGAAAGCCAATTCAGTCAGAAACACCAATCCCACCAAATGCCTTAATCAAAGCTCATTATCTTCTTGAAAATATGCTGTAATGGTATGAGGACCACACGATGCAGTAGTAAAAATTGAGCCCAGAACCAAAACAACAAATTTAATGGATCCTCAACATTTCTTCCTCAATCCTCCCATAGATTCATCAAGAGTATTCCTCGATATGATGCCAAGCCCAACAGTTGCAACTCAGTCTCCCAACAAAAAGGCAGACCAAAGAATGATTCTTATCCAAACCCTACAAATATACTTCCTGTGATTGCCCAATCAATCAGTATTATTTGTAGGGTAAGACTGAAGAGAATCAGTGCCTTTCCCATTTTTTCGCAATTTTTATCGCATTATCTGGAATTACTTCCATAAACATCTTCTTCTCCAAGAAAATTAAAGAAAAAATAGTCATTCCATTTGATTAACTAAAGTAGTATTGCTTGTACTTCAATAAAAATGGCAGGGAGTTCATTTAGCTGCAAGAACTTAAAAGATGTGTTACAGAATTTCAATGATTAATGCATACCTGTTGAAAGAAACATTGAATTATGTGGTCCATAATTATAAAAAGAATATGTCCCAACAAACTTCAGAATTAAAAAAAGAGAATCATGCTATGTTGTCAGAAAATAGTTGACATGCAATCTGATCGATACTTACAATGAAGCCCCACTTTTTTGGATTTTTTTATTCAATGTGGGATTCACTAGCATGTGAGAGTATGTCAACCGAGATAAGAAAAAAATTGTCGCAAACCAGCTTAATTCTAAAAGAGAACACAACAATTGAGCAAATACATAGACGAAACTGTGAATATATTAAAACATTGACCTAGTTGGCTTGTCTGTGAATGACAAACCAGATACCCTTTACTTGGCTGGTACAATTCTTGAATTATTGAAGGAAAAGCTCTTTGTCCAGGGCCCTCGACCTCCAGGGCACCATTTTGGCTCCCCTATAGGTGGGGGGCTATTCCGACAGTTACTATATCCATAAAGAGTATATTGAACCTTTGTAATCAATTCATTACAAAAGAATATGTTTCTTCATAATCAATTCCTAGTCTTTCTAAGAAACCTTGATTCACGATTCGAGTTTTGCATGTTATAATTTCATTATTTTCATTTCTCTTTAGTACAAAAACACATTTGTATCCTACATGGATTAAATTTTCAGGTGTTCAAACTACATATCCAAATATTTTTCATTTCTTTAAGAAATTCAATTCTGTCTGTATAACTTCTTTCCATTTTGGCCATTAATAGTTATGTTGTTAGTCTTTAAATGATTGTAGTTTAGGATCTTCATTTTACATAATATCAAGAGCCATGTTAAAGACGAAATTTTTTTTTTATAACAACATTATTTCGTTCTTATAATTTATGAGATAATATATTATTTATTGAAATCTCATTATTTTCGGGCATTTGTGTCTCTTCAGAAACATATTTTCAATATTTAAATGATTAATATTTTTTTGTTGCTTCTTCACATGTTTTTTGTTGGTTTTTCTTTTGTACCTTTCTTTTTTGAGGTATAAAAACTTTTGAACTAATTGGTTGATCACATTTTTGTCGTATTTGAAAATTCATTTGCTATTGCATATTGTCCTTTAGGGATATCAATTTTTGCTGAAATATTTTCTGTTCGTATATATGACTTTGTTTTTTTTCTTATAGCAACAAATACATCTGGTAATTAATTTGCTATCTTTTTACAAATAAATGATTTTTTCAACCTCTTGCTCACATTGATTGTTACGAGTATCAAAGTGAAATAGAATTATTTCATTCCAAGAAATTTTATCTTATTTTTTAGGATGTATTTTTCCCTCCTAGAGTTGAAAAGGTCATTTTTTTTTCAAAATGACAATATGTAAAACGTGTAGTAAATAAATCACCCATTAAAAGTTCAAAATACCTAATAATAGATGGTGAATCAAAACTCACATAAATCTCAAATTTTCATTGGAAACCCATTTTAATAAGTTGTGTAGTGAAATGGGAATTTGAACAGTACAAACAAAAATTCATAGCTGAGAAATATTAGGTTTATGACCAAATATAATTTGCAAAGGTGAATATTGATAATGAACAATTGATTTTATACGAACCAATAATGTAGCATGTAATATGACATGACCCCAAATAGAAGTTGAGAGTTTTATTTTTATAAGTAATAATGTGGCAATAGTTGTAGAGGTTTAATAAATTACTCAACCAAACCATTTTGTTTATGGACATGCACAATCGAATATTCAATAACAATTTCGATTAACATATAATAATCATCTAATGCTTGTGATCTGAATTTGCCAGCATTGTCAAGACAAATAGTCTTGATTGAGAAATCGAGGAATTGTACTCGTAATTATATAATTTGGACAAGTAGTCTAGCAAAAGCTATATTCCTATTGGATAGTAGGCATATATGGGATCATCTAGTAGAAAATTGATTAATATTATAAAATAACGAAATGGTCCATATGGTGATTGTATTGGCGCGCGCGCGCGCACACACACACACATA